GTCGATTAATTTTTCTTTATGGCAATTATTAAACCTCATTCTGCCTTCTTACAGTTATATTTCATGTCAACAATTATTTTTATTTCATCTTAATCAAATGGGTTGAGGTTCTCATTAATCATCAATGGTCATATTCTTATTTGTGAAACATGAAAATAGATTCGTGTACATTTTTAGTGTTGAGGAGTGCTCTTACTAATTGTGTTTTTCTTTTTATCCTTCTGTCTCAGATTTCTTTAATTTTGCTTCTCAAGCAGATACTCAGGTTAGGAAGTCTTTCCCTTACAATTCTTTATTAGTTCCTCACTTTCTTTCTTGAATTGCAGTGGGTTAATGAATGTTCTGGATTAATGAATGAACTCTCTCAGATTTCTTTAATACTCTGAAATTTTCATGTCTGGTCTTGGAATTTTTAATAATTAGATTAAACATTAAGCTTTTAATGTTTGGTTTAGAAAGAAGTCTAATATAGTGTGTACTAGGGTATGCTCGTGCCTGAAGGCACGATGAAAATAATGTTTGATTTAGAAAGAAATCTAATATAGTGTGTATAGTTATGTATTGTGGTATATAACTGTTAAATTTCTAGAGAATACTTATGTTTTTTTTTTTTTTTAATAGTTGGAATGTATGATGAATTATGTGAATGCTTATGTTTTTCTTTTCTTTTTTAATAATGATATACAAGTTCATTTTTTATACTCACTTTATAGACCCAGTGATGTGTCAAGAGGATGATTGGTTGATTCTTGACATATCACTGGACCTATAAAGTAGGTCGAACTTTTGGGCCTGAATAACTATTATTTATTTATTTATTTTTTACAAAGATTTTGTTACAGTTTAATTTTGTAATATGATAGGTCTTTTTTTTTTTTTTTTCTTTTTTTTTTCCATCTCTTAGGTTGTATTTGGATTTAGGATTTGAAGGGAATTTGTTGATTGAAAGGAAAAGAAAACATTAAAAAGTTAACCCTTTTTATTTGATGACCCTTTTTTTTTTTTTTGGCTTTTAGTGAATTGTTTTTAATTTGGTTTTTTTAATTGAACTGCTATTTTAAAATGTTTACACTTCTTTCTCTCTAAAAATTTAGCTTTTTAAATATTAATTTTGGAATTTTTTTTTTTAAAAAAGACCTTTTAAAGTAGGTAATTCTGTGTCAATTAATTGTTTTTTATGGCAATTATTAAACCTCATTATGCCTTCTTACAGTTATATTTCATGTCAACAATCATTTTTACTTCATCTTAATCAAATGGGTTGAGGTTTTCATTAATCATTAATGGTCATATTCTTGTTCGTCAAATATGAAAATATATTTGTGTACATTTTTAGTGTTGAGGAGTGCTCTTACTAATTGTGTTTTTCTTTTTATACTTCTGTCTCAGATTCCTTTAATTTTGCTTCTCAAGCAGATACTCAGGTTAGGAAGTCTCTCCCTTGCAATTCTTTATTAGTTCCTCGCTTTCTTTTTCGAATTGCAGTGGGTTAATGAATGAACTCTCTTAGATTTCTTTAATGCCCTGGAATTTTCATGTTTTGTAACGCCCTCAAAATAAACCCATAAATCATACATTCGTGACATCCATAAACATAAGAGAAATAAACATATTTCCATTCATCAGAGTATTTAATCCAAAGGTATTACATGTTGACAACAAAAGTAAATGCACTACGGGCTTACAACTTTCTAAGCCAACACTTGGTTACAAAAAGGAGAGTACTAACTCAAAACACAAAATAAGCCCTTGGCTTGAATTACATGTAATACACAAAATAATTACAAAAGTAAGCCTTCAACTTCTAAAACCTCCCAAGCTAAGTCCTTGGAGGCGGCATATCACCTGCACCGGAAAATGATGTCCCATATAGGGTGAGCCAATGCCCAGTAGAGATGTGCTAAACATAATATGAACAATGACTAAAACATGAGCATTCGATATATGTTAACACTGGTCAACCAACTTACAACACCATCCAATCCCATGACAAATATGTCCATGTTCATTTTACTTTCCTTTACTTAACAAATGTTCAATTCATAAACATGGCTCAAAACCTGGCCAGATAATTTAGATGAAATTACAACTCATATCAATAATACTCCAATTTCAAATGAAATAGTAACTCATAATAAAACACTTCCATACTTCACAATAGATACACATATTTGTTGTATCAATGTCATATTAAAACACTGCCATATTTCATAAATGATACACAGATTTGCTGTATCAATGGAGTCCATCTCCTATCTTCCCCTAAATCGTGGAGTACATCCCCTATCTCCTCCCACACAAAAAATGTTTATAAACAATTATCATATACACGATCAATCAATACACAGATTCGATGTATTATTCCAACCATCATATTCAATGACATATTCAACGTGATTAGTTTCAGTTTTCCCTAATCAACATACAGTGTCTACAACAATCACGACTATCCTCCACCGATAGCCCAAAGCAATTATTTCTAGACAGATAATAAATGCATCAACTGATAAATTATCAATATTTTCAAAAGTGAGTGATTAATCAATCCAACTCCACCATTCTTTCTCATAACTTCCCAATTCCACTATTTCACAATGAAAGTCATTAATTACACTAATGACCCAATAAAACCCAAACATGGCATTTTCCTCCATTTCTCCCAATATTGACCCAAAGGTCCAAATATTATCAATAGACCTCAATAACTTCATTTTAAGACTCAAATACACATATACAGTTCAATGGAACGAAAAACCCTCTTTTAACATTTTAAGGTTTGAAACCTTAACTCCCAAACTTTCCCAACAACAACATTACATCAAAATGACTACAAGTTTATGTCAAAGACCATAAATATCAGTAGTTATCCCTATCTCAAATTCGGAGCCCAAAAGAGAAGGTGAAGAAAATCGAAAGTGCTCCAAATTCTAAGATTTTCGGATTGATAGGTAGCCCAAGCCAAGCTCTACACTTTTTGCAAAGGAACTAAGGTAGAAAGTCACTCAAACTAGATCAAACCTTAGAGAGAAGGTGAAATATAGTGAGAGAAGCTCTCAAAATAGGGTTTTGAAAAGTGAGAGAGAGAGAGAGAGATAGAGAGGAAGAGAGAGAGAGAGTGTGTAAAAAGTGATTCAAAATAACACAGTGCAGATCTGATATACATATGACCCGCTCGAGCGAAGAATAGGACGCTCGAGCGTCAAACAAAAAAACTTAACCCGCTCGAGCGCAAAAGGAACCCGCTCGAGTGTTGATTACACTCTTCCAGTACTTTTACAGACATCGAACACCCGCTCGAGTGCAAGGATACCCGCTTGAGCGCGACCCGCTCGAGCGTAAAGAAATCTGCTCAAGCGCGAAAAACAACCCTACAGTACTTTTGCAGACGCACAAGATGCTGAAAGTGTGCAAACTCCGCTCGAGTGCGAAGGGATCCGCTCGAGCAGACCACCAAAAATCTGGGCAACAAGAAATGGGACTAAATCTCAACCAACCTGTTCGAAACACGTCCAAGACATTTCTAAACTCCAATCCAAAGCATTAAAGGATGGAAATGAAATACCGACGACAACAATCCTCAACGGAAACGAGTCCAGAATACAGTAAACAATGAGAGGAAAACCAGGATCGCTATATGTTTGGTCTTCGAATTTTCAATAATTAGATTACACATTAAGCTTTTAATGTTTGGTTTAGAAAGAAGTCTAATATAGTGTGTATAATTATGTATCTTGGTATATTGCTGTTAAATTTCTAGAGAATACTTTTTTTTTTTTGGAATGTATGATGAATTATGTGAATACTTATGTCTTTTTTTTTTTTTTTTTAATAATGATATACACGTTCATTTTTTATACCCATTTTATAGACCCAGTGATGTGTTAAGAAGATGATTGGTTGATAATTAGATAATATTTAATTATCAACCAGTCCTCTTCTTAACATATCACTGGACCTATAAAATAAGTCTAAGTTTTGGGCCTGAATAACTATTTTTTTTTTTTTAATTTTTACAAAGATTTTGTTACAGTTTAATTTTGTAATATGATAGTTTTTTTTTTTCTTAGGCTGTATTTGGATTTAGGATTTGAAGGGAATTTGTTGATTGAAAGGAAAAGGGAACATTAAAAAGTTAATCCTTTTTATTTGATGACCCTTATTTTTTTTGCTTTTAGTGAATTGTTTTTAATTTGGTTTTTTATTGAACTGCTATTTTAAAATGTTTAGGCTTCTCTCTCTTTAAAAAGAGTCCAGTTTATTTAGCTTTTTCAATTTTATTTATGGAATTTTTCAAACCAAAAAAAAAAAGACTTTTTAGATGTTTATCAGGACTTTTGAAAAAACTTAAACTTATTTTAAAAATTTATTTTAATAATTTTTTAATGATTTTTATGAGAGTATTACTCTTTGGAGTAAATAAGCTACTGTGTAGTATACTTTTTTGAAAAAGGCATTTGTAATTATGCAAATAATACAAAAGGTATTTGTAATTTTTCAGTTACAATGTGTGAGCCCTTTTATAAATTTTTATTGTAGTTTTTTACTTATTTTGTTTTCACATTTTAAAATGCAAATTTAGTAATTAAATTTCTATAATTAAGTTTTGCTAAAATTTTATTCATTAGTATAATTTATATTTTTTTTATAATTTACTTAGTTGTTAGTAGGAAAAATGGGCAATACAATCCATTAGAATTAACTTTGTCAGTGCATATATAGAATCAACCACAAAATCATGTATTGCAATAGTTCTACATTTTGGCCAATAGAGAAAAATTATGAAGATTTCTATGAGAGTATTTAATTTTTCTTCTATCATTTTTAATGTATATTGAAGACATAAAGAAATTATAATTTTTCTTCTATCCTATAGTAGTTCAATTTCTCCATCTATGATATTCATGCATAAACGAACTTCTTAAACTAGGTTGTTAACTAAAATATGTTAGGAGGTTGTTAATTTTGTAGCGATTAATTTTTCTTTATGGAAATTATTAAATCTCATTTTGCCTTCATACAGTTATCTTTGTCAAATTTACATAACCAGGCACTTTCAGGTTGAGACACGATTGACCTTCAACCGCTAATTATGGACAACATTACTATTTTTGGTCACGTAAGTTGTTTTCTTTTTTATTTATTTGACAAAAAAAAAAAAACATTTTTCTTATAAGCAGAAGTCAATTTTCTTTGCTTTTCATAATTTTTTTTTATCTAATTCCTTATACCAAATTCTCTTTTCTTATAATTTACAGATGGATGGAGACCTACGTCGAACTGTAATACTGACTCTTTTTACTCATTTTCTTACATGTATAATTTTTTTATTTTTTTTTACCTCTAATTCTTTTGTATTTTTAGGTCCAATTTCTTCAAGAAAGAAATGTTAATGTTGTTATCCGTGATGAGCGTGACCTTAATGTCATTCGTGTTTGAGAGGTAGGCCCAATTTAATTATATAGATTTTTTTTATTCAAAACACCGTGTACACCGTATATTCTTATTTATATATTTTTTAAAAACTTTCTACATATATATATTTTCTTTATTCTTTAAAAATTTTCTTTATTTTTTGTAGGCAAAAGAAAAGGAAATTGCCAAGGCATTGTTGAAGAAAAACGAAAAGACCACCGTTTCAAGCAAGGGAAAGGAAAATGCATGTTCAGGAATATGGCTATTCAACATTTTCATTTAAAGTTCTTTTTTTGAAATATTTATTTTGGACCACGAACCCTGATTATTTATTTATTTTTTTTTTAAATGTAAAATTGACATACTACTTGCACAGTGACATATACTGTTCTTATAGTAAACAGTTTCATGTAAATTTGTGAAATGTTTTTTTTGAAGCATGCTAAAATAGCATTTGTACAAAAGCATTATATTTGTTTTAAATTATTATTATTCCTTTTTGGCTTTTTGCTATTGACATGAACATCTACAAGAGAAGAAAAAAGGAATAGAACAAAAAAGGAATGAGGGGAGGAGGGATACAGAATGAAAAAGTTTTCAATTTTTTTACAAAATATCAGAAGGAAAGGGAATTAAGATAAAGTAAATTAATAGAAATGAAAAATGAAGAGAAAAGTATAAAACAGGAGAAGATAATATTCATATTTTAGGCATCTTATGAAATTAATCTTCATGTTTTAGAGACATAAAAATAATGTTATATCGAAAGCTGCATTGGCTCAACGTGCACGGCGAAAGAAATGATAAGGCAAGCTCTTCATATCAATTGGGACAACGTTCGCGACGTGAATGAGAGAGATCGAGAGAATTGATTCCACCAAGCACAACTAATACTCCACTGGTTCAGAAAGATGTCACGACCCCAACTCGCCCCTAGTAGGATGGTGCCGTGATGGCCAGTAATCCGAGATTACCGAAGGCCAACTTTCAAAATTCACACACAATCAGAGTATTACATATGGGGCTAACCAGTGCGGAAGCAATAATTTACAAATACAAGTGGTCCATAAGAGCAGTGCATAAGTCAAATGGAATGGCATACATCTTTACACAGCTTTACAACTTGAATACAATTAAAGTAAGGTCCAAAATACATATTACATTTTAACAAAAGGGCTTCACAAGCTGACATAAACAAAATGCACGAACTACAAGTCAAGGAACATAGTCTGCCAGATTGCCGACATCCTCGTTGCCGACGTAACATACATACAAAACACACATCTTGATCAAAAGGCTTCTCAAGCCGACGTGCACGAAATACAAATATTCCAAGTCGAGAAGCATGATTTTCAAGACTGCCGACATAATTACAAGTCAAGCCGGCGTGACAAAAATCCAAAACAAGTTTGCGAATCACATCTAGGCATCACCGCCTTCTTGTTCATCACGTACATATATATAGAGAGGGTGAGCTTGGATACTCAGTGAATGGTATAAATAATAAAGGGTTTGCATGAATAATAGCCGAAGTCATTTCAAAACAATACATGTCAAAACTTTATATAACAAGGGATGGACCTCGTCCATCTAACAAATCTTCAAAACTCTAAGGGATGCTTACTAGCATCAATATATTACAAATGATGACATTCCGGACAAACAAGCCCACGCGGTAAACCGTCAGTGGCAAAACAAAACAAAGCAAGGGAGATATCTCAACAAGGGTGTTACAAAAGTTTAGAGTCCTCTAGCACAAAGGACCTATGTTACGAAGGCCCGTAGCCCCCTAACACGAGAGTACTGCGAAAGTTTAGAGTCCTCCAGCACAAGGGACTTTCAAAACGAGATGTGCAGTTGCATTATAGTCCCCTGACACTAAGGACTTTCAAAACAAGATATGCAATTGCATTATAGTCCCCTAACACTAAGGACTTTCAAAACAAGATGTGCAGTTGCATTATGGTCCCCTGACACTAAGGACTTTCCGAGAAGGTCATCGAAACAAGATAATACTTGATACACAAAATAGGGATAATCATTCATGCTTAACAAATACTTTTCAAACCAAGGCAAAGCAAAGTTCATCAAAACATTTATAACATAACTTTATTAAAAATACCACTCACATAGTTCTTCAAATGTCGAGGTCAAGGCAAGTCCAAGTCCTACAAACACACTGCAAAATCTATTGAATGCGCTTCTCAAAACAAGTCTGGCATGCATGTAAATGACCTTGGCATTCTACAAAAACTAAGTCAAATCAAAACAAAACAAAGTTTCTTATCTCTGGAAAACATGCTGGGCAACTACCAGGTCTAGGCCGAGGTCCCACACCTCCTTGCCGAGGTGTGGCCTCGATGGCCACATTCAAGGAAATGAGGTCGGCAAAATCTGGGTTTCCCTCTCTAGAAGAACATGACGATCGTGAAGAACATGAACATGAGGAAGATGAATGCAAAGGTTATAACTTGCTATTACAAATTCTAAGATTTCATGCTAAGAATCCGAAATCATAGACCTGGGTATCCATACTCAAAGATCTTTATGAAAACAAACACAAAAACATAAACCTTAATGCAAACTTTCGGATCAAACAAGGCTTTTCTTCAAGAATACATGAAAACCATTTTCTCTTTCCAAAACCAACTTTAAATCAATGTATGATGTGCAGAACGGGTTTGATCGTGCAATGCAACTAGATGATCAATAAGAACAACGAGAGTAGGTTAATATTCTAACCTCAAAACTCGAATCTAACGATCCAAACTCCAACGATCAAGCTTGGAAGTTCTCTCTCTCTCGCTCAAACTTCTCCTTCTCCTTCCTAGAGCCTCTCTCTCTAAAACACAAGATTTGATACAAAATGATATGTTTTTCTCGAAAGCCACTAACTTAACCCTCTGCTGGGACACATGGCATCGGTTGATAGGCTCTACTCAAAAAGGTGACTGACTGACAAGACATGACCATGACAAAGTGTGTTCAACAAGCTAGACAGCAAGAGCATTCCGGCAAGTGATGATCTCAGCTAAGGACAAGGCTTCGGCAAGTAGGGTAACAATGATATCGGCTTGGAAGGACAACACTTGACTTCGCTGTGCCACACCTTGGCCTAGATGTGCCACACCTCGGTCTAGGTCATGCCAATCCAGGAACAAAATCACTTAGGTGCAAGGACAACATCTCGGCCTAGATAATACACATCTCGGCCTTGGTGCTGTACACCTCGGCCTAGATAGTGACATCTCGGCCAACATGCCAGGGCGAAGATGGAGGTCAATCAAAGTGATTCCAAGATAGTTCTAAGTGTGGAAAGGTTCCAAGGTGTCTAGGCTTAAGATGACCTCGGCAATACACCAGGCAAGAACAAAGTATGCAAGAAACACTCAAGTAAAACAAGACAAGATTTGCAAATGCACATAACAAAACAAGATCATACATAAATGTATGCAAGTATGACTAAGTTGAAGTGAGGGTTGTTACAAAAGGAGTAATGTTTACACATCTTACTTCGCCAAGCACATCTTTAGCTTCACAAAGGAATTGGTAAAACATTGTATTTAATTCTACAAATACATATTCTTATTGTTAAGATTTTATTTTATAAATTTTATTTTGTACACAACAAATAGTTGTAGGCCTACTCATGCAAGCCCATTCCTCCATGAGACTAGGAATATCGGTGTTGTTATTCGTGATGAGTGCGAGCTTAATATTATCCCCAATTCTAAGGTAAGTATAAATATCAAGTTCAACATATTATTTTTTCGTAATCTTAATAAATTCTATAAATACATGTTCTTTTTCGTATTCTTAATAAATTTTATTTATTTTTGGTAGGCAAAGGAAAAGGAAAAGGCCAAGGCAATGTCTAAAGGAAAAGAAAAGGCAACTTCTTTTGACAAAGGAAAGGAAAACGCATGTCCAATGGTATATATTCAACATCCTAAAAAAAAATATTTATCGAGTAAAACAAAGCCAATCATATTGTTTAAGTGAACATTGATCATGTATATTTTTAAAAATGTAAACTGTGTCGTCAATTTTTTTTGTGTGCTCTTTGTTTTCTGTACACTCAAACAAAGTATTTTTAGCTCTCTTTAACATTGCCTAAAAAATAATTGTAACCTTTATCAACTCTAAGAAAAACTTTATAATATCTAAGCAAAGGAACAGAGGAACATAGGCATAGAAAATATTTTTAATTTTCTTAAAATCATCATGAGGCAAGAAGAAAGAGAAAACAATAATTAAAAAACAAATTGTTATATCACAAGGCATGAAGAGGGAAAATGAAGCAAAATAGAAAAGGAAGTAGGACAAAGACAATGTAAAAATATTCTTAAAATTATCATAAGGCAGGAACAAAAAGAAATAAAATAGTATACGATAATATTTGTATTTTAGGTATCAATGATAAAATGTTCACATTTTAGGCACACAATAACAATGTTATATCAAAAGCTACATTGGCCCAATGTGCACGGCGAGAATGGGAGAAATCAAGAGAATGTATTCAACCGAGACAAACTTCTTTAATACCGTGTCGTCGTAGTCGTGCTTGCTTGGAACTAGGAACAAAGGCAACTGAGGATACACAGTCGGCACAAAAACGAACAATGGTTGCACATCCTTCCACATGTTCGTTCTCAATGCCAAGCACATCTTTAGCTCCACAAAGGAATTGGTAAATGACTGTGTTTAATTCTTCAAATACATACTCCTACTATTACCATTCTATTTTAATTTACACAGAACCAATATTTGTAGGCCTACTCTTACAACTCCTTCCCTTCAAGAGGATCTATGTACTAATGAGGAATTAGAGGATATGCCTATGAGTCTAATGGTTGGTACTCGAGCACATATAAATTCATGTCGTCATTCTCTTGGCAAGATGGATGTATTATGTCCTTTCTGTTCAGCATTACATTGGATGGATGAAAAATTAGTAAAATTATCTCCAAACCGTCCTTTATTCGGAACATGTTGTTCAAAAGGGAAGGTTAAGCTTCCTCTGCTTATTACACCCCCTTCACTTCTTCAAGCATTATATGATGGGAATGATGATAAATCAAAATCGTTTCGACGTTATACTCGAGTGTACAATGCAACCAATGCTTTTACAAGTCTTGGTGCTACATTAGATCCATGAGTACTTACTGGAAGAGGCCCTACATCATTCACTATCCATGGGGAATTCCGACATCGAACAGGATCACTACTACCACAATCAAGACAAGATGCAACT